AGTGCTTAGAATATTACCGTCTTCCAGATCATTACCTAAATCAGACAAATTGGTTATAATACTTTATTACATTTTGAGCCAGAAGTCATAGGGTTTGTTTTTAAAAAATGCAAATCGAACTTACTTTAAAATCTTGTCTCCCTGCCTCCCTCACAAGATTTTCTCTATTTCTCAAGGTTTTTGGGCAGGTTTTCATGTTTGGGGCCATTGTTGAATGTCTGAGAATAATGTTATATTTATCTGTACCTAAGCTTAGGAAGAAGGGATGTTTGTGCTTTTTAAATATGAGGCACAGAATAAGCCTGCACTCTCAGGACAGGTAGATGGCACCACAACAGTTTTTCTTCATGCAGTGATTCTTTCAGTGGCTCTTGATTTGCATAACAAAATTATACATAACCGATGAACCTGTACAGCTGCTTCTTCAGAACAAAATCCAAACAAGGTAAAATAGAATAGTTGAACACCGGACAATCAACCCACTGCACACCCTGCCAGCAACTTTTCACACCACTCATTCCTTACACTGGAGAGTGCAGGATGTTGTTAGGACTCTATGCACTGGAATGAATAGCATCTCAAGAAGCCTTTCCACTCACTTGCATTGGTTTATTTAAGGGAAGCATTTATGTAATCTGTAGATTGAGGAGCCTGAGATTCAGAGAAAATGGCAAGAGGGGTGGCTGTGTTTACATGGTACTTCTGTTTTTTTCCTTGCAGCTGCCGGATGAGTGCAACACAGTGTTTGAAGCATGAGTGGTTAAACAACCTGCCTGCCAAAGCCAAGAGGTTCAAGCTTCGCCTGAAGTCCCAGTTGTTGCTGCAAAGTTACATAGCTCAAAGAAAATGGAAGGTAATTAGCCTGGAAAATCTTCCAGGGGGAAAATCAGCTCAACCCAGGCAGGTTCTGCTTTTCTGAATATTGGCTCAGTTTTACTAAATTATTGTAAACATGAGTTTAGGAATTCTTCAGTTTGTTATTTGAAGTTCTGTATTTTTTTTCTTTACAAGTTCAGAGGCTTCAAATGCTATTTAGCTCACTCCAATTTTTTTTTTTTCTTCTTTTAATGGAGACATTTTTGCATTGACAACGGTTGTGATGGGATACAATGAAAGCCAGTTTTGTTTCCCACTGCAGAGAATGGAAGTCTGGGACAGGAAAAAAAAAAATAGGCTTAAAGACATCAGGAAAAATTCTCAGAACCTTTCTGATAAGCCCAAGACTTTTCAGAAGTAAATTGTGACTGAAGAAGGAAGTGATAGATTCCAGTCGTATGTTTGTTGGTTTGTAAATAATTGACATAGTCACCTTTTACAAATAAGCAATGGAGGAAATGCTAAGAAAACTCAGATCCATCTTCTGTCCTGTCACTGGAGACTTGTAATTCCTTATCAAGTTGAATCTTATACCTTCTCAACTCTGACTCGAGCTGTTTCACTCTTATGCATTTGTGTTGTAAAAAAACGTGCCATCTAAGACATGACACTGTGACTCGTACGTTCTGCAGTAATCAGAGGTTTCTCAGTACAAAGCATTACGTTACCTCCTGCTGGCAAGATTCCAGTATCATCCTTGAGGATTCTTAGAATTCAACTAGTGGCAGATCATTTTTTTGCTTTGCACTGGGCCCTGTATACCAAGGCTGAAGTGCTGCAGCCAGTGCATGTTACATAGGGAACCATGCTATACCCATACGTAACCATGTTCCCTGCAGTGTGAAGGCAAGTACTGAAAGCTGATCAGCCTTTCCTCAGGCTTCTCTTTGATTTTATTTGGCATTTCTGTGAAGGAGGGCTGTTGTCATAGCATATGAAACTAAGACTTTGGGAGCTGTAGAAAGACCGTTTCTTGCTTTAAGTGAGCTGATTTACCTGTGGCTTAGACAGTGATTGTTTTCTGACCCTGTACTCAGTTTTCCCAGAATCACAGAATGGCTGATGTTGGCAGGGACCTCATGTCCACCCCTTTTGCTCAAGCAGGACCACATATAGGTGGCTTTTTAGTAACCTGAAGGAGAGAGGCACCCCCTCTGTGCAACGTGTTCTATTGCTTACTCACTCTTACAATTGAAAAGGATTCCTGATGTTCAGATAGAACCTGCTGTCTCAGTATGTTGCCAGTTGCCTCTTTTGTCAACACTGAAAAGAGCCTGGCTACATCCTTTTTGCACCTTTCCTTTCAAATATTTATATATATTGATAAGATTCCTTTGAGCTTTCTTCCAAGCAGAGCAGTCTCAGATCTCTCATGTTGTCCTCATAGGAGAGACTCCAGTCCCTTACCCATCTTATGGGCCATTTATTAGACTCTCAGGTTTTAGGTCTCTTCTCTAATGTGGAGCCCAGAACTGGACACAGTACTACAGCTGTGGTTTCACCATTGTTGAGGATCAACTTCTTTGAGCTGCTCACATTAAACAGTGCAACCTGGGGCACCATTAGCTACCTTTATGGCAATGGCATGCTGCTGACTCATGTTCAACTTAGCAACTTAACATGTTCAACCTCCATGAGGACCTTTCGGTAGATAGATAGTCTTTTTTTGCTGAGGGAAAATCTAGAAAGAAAAAGTCCTTTTCCTCAGTTATACTCACACTCAGACCACTCTGTTTTGTTCACAGAAACATTTTTATGTGGTGGCTGCTGCTAACAGACTGAAGAGATTTCAGAGTATGTCTGTCAAGCTTGCATAATGTTGTATGAAGCAACTACCATGCTTGAAGATGGATGTGAAACCATAGGAGAACAACTCAGTATCTTCAGTAATTTCTATCCCATATATAATGTCAAGTCTTGCATCTGTCTTTCTCATATATTGTGTGTTAGTGCTTAGTTACCAGAAATGTCTCTGAAAGCAGACAAGAAACAGAAAGTGTTACCTGAAAGCAGAGGCACTGAAATAACTTAAGAAAACAGAATATACCTTTTTTTTGTTCTTACAAGCTTTTAGTTGTACATAGTGATGGAAAAAATAGAATTCAGTGGGGCTGACCTCTTTCCAAAGGCGTTTTTACCAAAAAGACCAGCAGTTTTCTGGCTTCTCACACCAAGCATGGGATCTCTAAAGACTTTCTTCACAACTGCTGTACTGCTGTATACACAATCAGTTTTAGTGGACTGCCACAAGAATAGCACAGTATTTTCCCTCAGGTTTGTTACTTAAGCAGGAAGATCAAACTTTTACTGTAGTGAGAAGATAGATGGGTGAAACTGCCACAAATGAAAACTAGGCAGTGGCTGCTGGGTCACTCTGCAAATAGCTCATAATGTACTGGAAAGACTTCCAGACACTTCATTTCACGTTTTAAATGTGTAAATGCTTTTCATTGGGTGTGACTGCAGCCCTTAGTATTGTAGTTCTTATTTTGAGATTTTTAAAATCCTTTTCAACGATTTTAATGCATTTTATCTGGAAAGTTGATGTGCAGAACACATTCTAATGCTGTTTAGCTCCAGAGAAATGGTGTATTGCTAGACTTTTTGGCTCAGCTGGAACATTGAAACCCTTTTTTTCCCAACTTGCTCTCAAACATAAGACTTTTTCTTCACAATACTAACTCTTCATGATGTCTAAGAATTGAAGCCACTTTCTCAGCTAAAAATGCAACATTATTTATTAGACCTGTGGTTTCTTTCATTCCTGTTCTAGATTTTGTAGAGCTCAATGTAAGCTGAACAGGCTCTTTATTAGTGATACTTTTTGGTTTTCCTAAAACTAGCTTTTCAGTGAAGACATCTAGCTGCTGCCAAGCTCCCATTAACTTTACAGATTTTCATATCCCTTAAATTAGCAAAAGTGCTGGTTGCTAATAAAGAAGATTTTATGAATGCCTTACCCTAGCCTAGTTATCTTCTTTCCACTCTAGTGCTTCCCACTTATTCTAATCCCTGGATTCTGGACTGGTGCCGATTTTCTACTATCAAAGCAGTGAAAAATGATTAAAATCCAGTGAATCTTTACAATGTATCACCTTCTGTGAAGGCCCACTTTTGTTCATATTTTCCTTCCACAGTGGTTCTGCATGCTAGAAGTGGATATATTCTTTGGTCTGTATATTTCTGAACTAATACTAATAAAATACATTATAAAGGAACAGGCCCATTCCTCCATTTTGGTTCAAAAAACAAACATTAGAAAGCATCTTTGATTAGGTCTTACAGAATGTAAGATCTCACCCCTCTGCCACATGTTAGATATTAATAGCAGATGTTTTGTTACAGCTCCTACTGGGGATTCATTAACTAAGATTTTTCTCTGCACGCCATGCATTTGTTTGGAGTCCATTCCACAATAAAGTTACTGTTATGTTTCAGGACTCTCATCAGGTATGAAATTGGCATTTACTATTTAAAGGTGACTAGAATTTATTTCTTTTTTATGCTTCAATTACACTGTGAGATGAAGTGAAAGGTAATTTGCTAGTAAGCTTCATTTTACCACTTACTGTGTAGTACTTCCTCTATTTTTGTAAGGGGGTAATACGTATAGCTGTTCTCTGCTGTCTTATATTTCCTCTCCATCTACAAAGAGAGGATGCATCTGGCTTGCTATTTTGTTCTTAACAGAAATCTTTTCAGCTACTGCAGCCACGTAATTCTGCAATACAGTGAAAACCATCTCTGCAGTCTCATGGGATATTTCATAATGTCCTGCATAGTCTACAGAAAGCTAAAAACACCCTACACACAGTCTGCAAGACACTGGAACAGTGAGTATGGAAAAACAAAAAAAACCAGGTGGCCCCATAGGGTAATAGCTGAAGCTGGAATCAGTGTCACCCAGGTAAGCAAGGAACATGCTAAGCAGTGAGGTATTTGGCAGACCATCAAAATACTGTTGAGAAGCTCAGATGGGAATGCTGTTTCAAATCTAAGTGCTCAGACAGGAGTTATTTCCCTTCATGCAAATAGCTAAGGAGTTTCTGTTTGTTTTTTTTTTTTTTTTAATGATGATTTATAAAAGTTAACTTGTTCATACAACTCAGACAGAAGACAAGAAGTGGGCAGCAGAATTGGCTTGACTTTATTATAGTAACGCTAGTCATGGACTGCTAAAGGTTATGATTTTTCTTTCAAAAATAGTTACTTTAAGTCCTACTTTGAATAGGTGGGATGAAAGTATAGGATGACACAAGTTGCCTCTAAGACCTATGGGGTCAGGGCACTCTTCAGTTGAAGCTTATGCTCCTGAGATACAACAAAAAGGTCTGTGTCCCAGCTTCACTAGGTTCGAAATCCTTGTTCCCTGGATACCTTCCACAGATGGGTCCTCCTGTCTTATTTTGCCCCCCAGAAGTTTTACATACAACAAGTATGTGCATAAAAATGCACGTCTTAACGCAAAGCTTTTCCTTCCGATATCTTTATTGTTTCTTGGAACAGCTGGGCCCCATTACATACACAAGAGACTTCAGTCCTACACAGGCATAAAAACTATTGTCAGTTCAGTGAATAAGTGTTTGACAGTTTTAAAAATTACTCAGTCTTTAATTCATCTGTTGTTTTTGCTGTTTAACAAGGCACAGTTGGTCTCCTCCCACTCTTTTTCATTGTCTACTGCCAGCTAGAGGCACAAGGACACGTGACATAATTCATTCACATTGAACATCATACTAGAGTGTCACCTGCTGCTTGTACCAGGAAAAATGAAGCAGTCCTACCACCTAATGCTACATCTGCTCAAGTACCAGCCTGGCAAATAATTAAACATGCTTCTTCCAAAAATCACCTCAATTGTCATTTATTAAAAATAACTTTTAAAAACTAGCTAAAAAAATAAAATTAGCTGAATACCAGCCAGTCATCACTTATATGCTACAGGAATTGTTAAGAACAAAAGGACTGTTAACGTTATGAGCAAGCAGTAGTGATATTACAAGGTGGCACTATAGAAACAGTACCACTATTTGTCTCTTGTGCCTTAGCAGCATTTTCCAGGATTCTCCTTTTCCATTCTTCATAGTCTTGCTTTGTTTCAGTCTTTGGCTGTTTACATGGAATCTCATCATCATAATCTTCAGAACCTATGTTTGGAAAAAAAAAAAAAAAGGTAAGTACATGATGAGCCAGCACCAGCAATGTGTTGTTGGAAATAATCAGCCAGTGTACAGAGATCAGCCTATTCAAGTACAGAGACCATTACTGTACTATCTCAACTCTCTGGTTTCCTCATCTGCCCCCCTCCCAAGGCAGTCACCTTTTCACTTTTCTGGTTGAGTGTAAGAGTTAACTTTACTACAACTACTCAGTATAATAAACATTGTCCTTTTGCTGCGTTTAATTAGTCCTTCTATTATAGTAGATTGCAGAATGGTGTCAACCAATTTTTATTGCTTATTCTACAACTAAAATACTGCAAAGCAGCAACAAAACCCCAAACTACTCCGATAATCTTAGTTCACAGCTAAACACAACTTACTTTCTTTCTCATATTGCTCCAGGTCAGTCTGCTGGGTTTCAGATGTCTCTGCAGCTAATGGAGTATCATCTTCTAAAAAACAAACAAACAAAAAAGTTAAGTTACTTTACTTCTGAATGATGTGGGATGAGTAATGTGGGATGTTATTCTACATCCAATTGTTCACAGCAGTGATGCCTTCCCCCAGTGCCCTCCCTTTGTGATGTATTCTTCTTTCCAGGTTGCCTGCTGTGTTAGCATAGCTTCTTGTGCAGCCAGTTAGTGAATAGACTTAACTGATTGACCTGGCTGGAAAACAGCTTAGCAGGCAAGTGGTGTTTCCTCATCATAAAGATTCTCTGTTAAAGACTGATAGTCAAACTGTATATGCAAAGGTGCTAGCACCCTCCAAGGCTTGCGAGGATTGGCTGGCTGCTTTACCTAGTGCTGCTGCTGCATGTGTAACCATAATGATCAGCTTTGTTCATATCAAAAAACACCTTGCTGCCATTCTTGATTATTCACAGAGCATTCTCCCTTCTGTACCATTTCCACAACTGCTTTGTTTTACAGATACCCACAGCACGCTGTCAATTTATACCTAACCTGAAAAAGGAACTCCTGTCTGCCTTGAAGCTGCTTTTGTGGTGGGATAATTTCTCTGTTGGCAGCTCCATGCCTAGCAAGAGCAGCTTTTGGTTTGGATTCAGGCAGCACACTCTAGAAAACATTGCAGTGTGAAATATGAAGTGGAGGAGGAATACTGTCAGTGGGAGAGTGAGAATAAAAATCTGGGGAGGGAAAGAGGACATAAACAGGAAGGAACAAAGATACAAGGACAGAAAGGAACATATACTTCAATCTTTGCCCTATGCTAAAGAGTGGGGAGAGCTGGAAGTTCAGCAGCAGGTGAGAAAGACTCTTATGTCTGCCTGCTGTGTGTGGAGGCATGGTGTCAGGTAATAGTTGAATTACTACAAGGAGATCAAGGCTTAGCTGTGTGTTAATCCCTGTGAAGGAAAGGAAAACGCAGGAGCGTCAATTAAAGCAACAGAGGTAGTAAAAGGTTTATGCTAATTTCCGTATTATGTTGCTATATTAAACAGGATGAAGAAAGCAGGCAAGGATGAATCCAAAATGCTTTAGTGGTATGGGAGAAAGAGGGGATAACTTTCAGCAGCAGAAAATGTAAAGAACTGTGAGCATTAAGGAAGAGGATAGATATTGTGGGCCTTATCATGTTCTAAACTGTTGTGACCTTCCCAGAAGCAAGGACTGTGAGTGGGAACAGGACTGAGGGAAACGCTGGAATGGTGGGCAGGTTTGGCTGAAAGAAAATAGTTGAAGTGAAATCAACCAGCAGAAATGCATGGGGACACTGTGAGCCTAGACGTTGGGTAAGCTGTATTACAAAGATAAGGACAAAAACATACTGTTGAATTGCCGGCTTATCTTCTCCATCTGACTGCACAGGCGATCAAATATTGCTTTTTTCACTCCAGATACAGCCAACATCCTAGATTTGTCCACTTTCAGCTTCAAACACCTGTAACAGAAAATTAATTTATCTCTCAGCAAGTATTATCCAGCTGAGATGATATTTATTACTCTATCAACACTGCCTTTGGGAAGGAAGAGTCAAGATGGATCTGTAAGTGAAGCCCACAGTTAGCTCAAATTATGAGAGGAAATTCTATGAGGAAAAGGTACTTCATAGGTTTCAAGGGAAGCAAGGCAACTACTCTTGCGAAGAACTGAATGGGACTGCAGTCAAAACATTTGTCAAGAGCTATGAAACTACACAACACCTGAATTGTTGACTGTTAAAAGGCACAATATTGAGAGGGAAAACATGTACGCGCAAGCAAATTCTTGCCAATTGTTAAATGTGTCAGGCTCTCCTATCAGCCATCTCCTGAGATGATGCTGGTCTAAAGCTGAGACAAATCCATCCCCCAAATGTTAGAGCCTGAGGATGGGATGGTACAGGTGCTTATAGGTAAGCTGGCAGCAGCCATTCTTTCATCTTGAGCAATATCTCACCAAGAGACATGCAGAACTTCTTGCTTTATGTCCAACACCAATCTACACTGACAAGAGAAGAAAGTTCTGGTTAAATCTGAAAATATTACTACTGTTATATTGGCTTGGTGGACTTCTTCAGCTACTGTCAGGGATAACACATCCAAATGGAATTATCTGCTTCATCAATCACACACCAGGAAAGGCAGATTTCATTTCTTCTAGGACAAGTAATTCAAGATCCTCTTCTCTACGTCTGATGTAATACTTCTGTTCCCCCCTGAAAGCAAATGCAGTGTAGGCTGGAGATTTCCTTGTAAAAGGGTTCTTGTGCTAGAGATGTCTCCAGTTCCAGGAGTAGAGATGCAGAATGCAGTAGTAAAGAGCCTTCAGCCATGCTGAATCAATCAGTTGCTTACACTGCATGCACTATTTCTGTTGAATGTCTCACCAGGTATCTAAGCCTATGAAAGAACCCCTTACACTGTACTCACCTGCACGCAGTGAATAGTGCAGCTGCTATAAATAGTGGTTTTGAGAAATCAAGTTCCATTTGCTGTGCTTCAGGGAGGCTGGATTCATACCTGAAGAATAACAGAGTGATAGCTGTATAATGCATTTGCTTCAAATGAAACTTTTGAAATTAATTTGTCACATGGTACTCAGCAGTTAAATATTGGATATCTCAGTCCTTTGAAACCTAGTCAAGCACAAAAAGCTGCTACTGCTTTAGAAGAGATAGACTGGGGAATAGAAGGGAATGGGGATCACTTCCTCTTTTTGATTTAAAGGCATTTTAAGGTAGAGATCTGAATTGAGGTATGTCAGTATAATTTCATTTGTGCTACCCATTTATGCTTGCTTTTATCTTTAAAATTACATGAAGAGATCTTTAGATCTGTCCTATTACAAAGTGTAGAACTATAGATTTTTTGATCTATATTTAAACCTTCACCTGTACAATATATAGTGGATGACATACTGGATATTCAGCAATGTGAAGAATTTAACTTCTTATTGTTCACCTTTACCAGGCTGGTTAAGTACCACAGCGTTCACAGCCTTTGTTTCCCACCAGAATCCTCGGAAACCCCACCAACACTTAAACGTGCTCAGCAGCAGAACAGCACTGCAGAGCTTCTCCCCAACTGCTCTTGCTAAAGTAGATCTTACAGCCAGGTTTTAGTAAAACCTTTTGGATCCCCACTGAAGTGCTGTACCTCATGTTCTGACAGGTAATGTGCACTGTAAGAGACCTGCTTCTCCAGAATGGTTGTTTCTCCTGCCCGTTTCTTCTGAACTGTGCCATGAGCAGCAGCTAATTACAGTGCTGCAGGCAAAGACACAAAATCCTGTCTTTTTCAAACTGCTCTGAGCTGAAAAACTGGGACTTGGGCAGCGACTTACTGTGCTCCAGAGGCTCAGTCTTTCTAATGTGTTTTAAATAGGTAACGTGCTGTCAGTGCTAAGAACTCACCTCGTGGGCCTTCAGAAGCAGCCGCCCGCCCTCCTCCCCAGCCGGCTCCTCACCCTTGCGGGCACGGAGCCGTACAGCCGCTCACCTCTGCAGGATTTCCGAGGCCGCGCTCAGTGCCTCCGTGCAGCACAACTGCACCGCCAGCTCGCGCATCCCCAGCCGGGCGTTCACCCCCAGCAAACACTCCAAGGCCTTCACGGAGCTCTGGTACGCGGTCTTGTTCAAACCGGAGAGTTTAACAAAGGAGCTCTGTTCGAGATAAAGAAAGAACACGAGGATCGCCGAGGCTCCTCGCCGGCTCCGCACCCAGGGACGGCGGAGAAACTACGCGCCGCTTCCGACGGCGCTAGGGCGGAGATCCGTGCGGGGCGCGGGAGGTTTGGGGCCGGCTCACCTTGCCGGCGGGGTGCTTGGTGCAGCGGGCCGCCAGCTCCAGGCACATCACGGCCAGGCCGCTCGCGGTCACGTGCGCCATCAGCCCCGCGCACTTCACCTGGGACAGCCGCAGGTACTCCTCGGCTTTCCTGCAAAACACCGCGGTGACGCGGAGGTGGCGGCGGAGCCTCGTCCGTAGGTGACCGGGCTGCGTGCAGGGCCCGGTGCACGCAGGGCACGCTCCTCCCGCCACCCCTGCCGATGCTCTCGAGCCCCGCACCGCGCTACCTGACGACGCGCGGCTCGCCGATCCCCAGCCGTACCGCCAGCCGCTGTACCGCGCCGCGCTCCATCCGCCTCGCTCTCGATTCCCGCCCGCTGTGCCCGCGTCGCGCGGCTCCCGACCCGCCACCGGGCTCGCCGACCGACCGGTCCGTCCAGCCGTCAATCGTCCCCGCAGAGCCAATCGACCCGCAGAGAAACGCTTCCTCGGCGCCGGCCAATGGAAGGGCGGCGGCGCGGCGGAGGGGCGGGGCGGCGCGGGCGGCGCAGTCACATGACGGCACGCGGCGCTGCGGGGCGTTGCTGGTGGGGGCGGCTCGTGGCGGCGGCGCGACCATGGTGAGGGGCGGCGGGGTCGGCGCGTGGTGGTTGTAGGGCAGTGGGGGGGAGCGGGGAGAGCCCCGAGTCCTGCCGCCGCCGCCCCGAGGGCGGGAGTCGGCCTCTGAGAGAAGGCCCGGGGTCGGGCCGGGCCCGGGGGCTGCAGCTCGGGAGCACCGTCAGCGGTTGCGCGCGGCGGGGTCTGAGGGCTCTGGAGGCCGCGAGGCCGCTGCTCGGCGCGGGTGGGGCCGAGGCGAGGCGGGGCCGGGCCCTAAACGGCAGCGTGAGCCGCTGCGGCCGGGGTCTGGGGCAGGCCGCTCTGCAGCGGTTGTGAGTGCTTATGAAAGAACCTGGAGCGTGGAGTAGCGCTTACCGAGACGTGCTTCTGAATGCTCGGCGACAACAAAAGGACAGCTGTGCTTCCTGGCACAACCCGAGTTCACTGTATTTGCTGAGGCGATATCCTCAGCAGCGTGTGCTGTGGCATCTCTGCCTGTTGGTCCGTCCAGCTGCAGTGTGAGCGGTGCTGGCCGTGCCTGCGCAGCGAGGCGCGGACATACTCGGTGCCACAAATGAACTGAAGCAGAGCTGTGCAGTCCCAGGGCTGCTGGGGCAGATCTGTGTTCTGACGTCGTCTGTGTGTTGGGTTGGATTTAATGCTGCATCCTCCAGAAGTGTGTGTGTGTGGCCGTGAATCCTGTCATGAAGGGGAAATACTTGAATGGATAACAGGAAATGTGCAGTGTGTGCAGGTGATCTGCCTCCCGAGTCACTGCTACAGGTACCTCATGGTTCCCAGCTGGCACAGCTCCCTTGTGTTTGTCACTTCCGTGTCTGCTCTCTGTCCCCTTCTTCCGATGCCCTGTGGTGTCTGATGGAGGAAGAGAAGACCAGCGCCGTGCTGGCGTGGTCCCCTCTACCAGATCGAGCTCTGCTGCTGTTTCCAGTGGCCATGCTGAAAGCAAAATGTTTGAACCTTAAACTAGAGTGTTTCTTGCTGCTGTCAGTTATCTCATGACTAAACAGCACAGCCCCTTGATTCTTGTGGATTGCTTGTGCCTTCTTGTGGAAGTAAATGACATGTGAAAAAGGTGTTCTTTAGTTTATCATCAGGCTTCTCCGTTGTGAGACTTACAAGTTCTGGTGTTGCAGAGTAATGCTTCTAATATAAATGTAAAATGCCTGTGCTTTCTTTTAGTTACTGCCAAGCCGTGCTGTGATGCTCACAGCAATCTGCTGTGTGTGATCAGGCTTCATAGCTAGGCCGGCTTCAGTCCTAATCTTCTGCAGCAAACCTGTTGTCTACCTTGGTTAAATGCTCCTTTTGCATGGGCAGTGATAGGGTGATTGGTGTCCTCGTGAAATTTGAAGGAGGTAGAGAAACTTGGGTAAGTCACTTCTGTTGTGGTACCAAACATGGGATGTGAGCAAACAGGAGAAGTTGCATGGAATATGCTGGAAGCACATCTAAGTAATGATACTTAGGGTAGATAAAAAATACACCTTAGAACAGAAGCAAAATCTTCCACTTAGTTGTGTTACCCATACCCTACATCCAGTTTTAGGTGTGTGCATTATCAGAGTACAGACTGCTTGGTAGGTTCTGCAGGCTTACCTTGATTTCTTTTGTGGCTTAATGCTCTAAGTTCTGTGGAGTGCTGCAGTTTGCTAGACTTCAAAGCCATCTGCACCCTGACCTGGGGTTTTTGCCACCTCCAGAGTGCTGCTAAGCCTTAAATATGCAACAGACTGTGTATTGATGTCTTCTCGTGGAAACGAGTGTCAGAAATCAAGTAAATTATACACTGTAGGTTTAATGATAATGTTCTGTGTCAGCAGTAGCTGTTACTGTCAGAATGTACATGTCCAGAGCCATGTTTGCAGTATGAATTATCTTCCAGGTAACTGGTGTTACCATGTGATCAGCCAGGCAATATGCTTCTTCCAAGCTAGTTTGGGGTTTAAATTTTTTCTTCCCCAAGACAACTCAGCAGCATCAAACTGGCAGAAAGCACTGTGGGGTGTTAAGACTCAAGCATTTAATTCAGGCTGGCTGCATAGTTGCTGAGAATTGTTATCTTGTGCTTGTGCAGTAGCTTATATCTTACTGTGCTTGGTGCTGAGGAGGGAGGCTGTGTTGTGCCTTGATTACACAGCTCTGCTGCTTTTCTCAGGAGTCGATATATCTTCTACTTCGGGAGTTTAGATTGGAATAGGATTCCACAGAGCAGTTGTGTTTCTGATTAAATAACACTTGGATCTGATGTGTAGGTTCTTGCTATGGAGTGGAAGGTACAGAACATAAACAGCTTTATTCCCCATTGTATCTGGCACAGCAGCTGGTTCCCAGTTTGATAGGAGCCGTATCTTCTCAACCTCAGCCGTGTGTGTCTGGCACGCGGTAGTAACCAGCTCACATGCAGACGTACCCTGTGCTTCTGAAGCTTAGAGCAGTAGGTAGAAAAGGGTCAGCTGGTACTTTCTATGGAGATTTCAAAGTCAGAATATTTGGGAAGGAGCTGGAACTTGTTTGGTAGCGCTGCTGTTCAGATGTTCACCCCTTTCAGAGGCCATGCTGCTACAGGCTGTGCCCTTTGGGCTGCCTCTGTTATGTTTGTTGCAGTCAGGGAAGGTTTTTTTGCCACTTGTGCAGCTGTAGAACACCACGATTGCTTTTCTTTAAGTGCAGAAGTGCAGTACCTTCTACCTATCTTCATTTATTCCAAGTCCTATTGGAAAGACAAAATTACTCAAAGCCTTTGTAGAGTTTGTAGCTATGAATTGCCCCGGAGGTACAGCCACCTCACTGTGCTGCTCTGCCATATGCTTCAGTGCTGTGCAGAAGGCCCATGCTTTGTGATAAGTGCACTCACTCTGATTAGCAGAGCTAACTTGCTCTGTTGACAACACAGATTTGCTAATGGGTTATTGTTCATGGTTTAGCTGTTAGTGAGGTGCTGAGTTACAGCTGAAGAACTTCCACCCATAGCCTTCTGCTCCAAGCAGAACTGTCACCGAGGTTGGATCAGAGCAGCCTTGACTTCTCCCTGCTGGAAGAAGGGTGGAGATTCACCACCTGGTGAGATAGAACCAGGGCACAAACAACATTGTGTGGTATTGCCTTCTCTGTAGGGTAGTAGGGAAAACACACAGGAGAAGTTGTCTGTGTCTCTTGTGAGGGAGGTTGCAGTTACAGGATAGGAATCAAGGGTAGTGGTGAATGTGGGCGAAAGGAGGAAAACATGGTATGCCAAGGCTGCAGTGCCCTACAGCTACTAAATTGGTGTTAAATTTAACTTCTCTATTTTAATGAAAACCCAAATTAAAATCTTGCTCCTTAAAAGATGCTTATGGGAACTCCAAGCACAGAGCATTTGAGAGAAGTGAATCCTGGAGATACTGGTTTTAAGAACATCAAGATGGTGTTGTAGTGATGGCCTTTTAGACTCTTATCAAGATATTTGGTTACAGAGGGCAGGAGCCTTCTGAACACAGTGGAAGAGGAAAGGAACAAGAACCAAGAGTTGAGAAATTACTGAAGCTGTGGGCTCAGAGCACCAGCACAGGATTCTGTGTGCATAAATGGTATTTCTCAAGACCAGAGAAGGTGCAGTTGGGCCACAGTTCCAGTGCTTCTATCTGATGATAACTGAGGGGTGCCCTCTGAAACCAAACCCCCAGGCTGAGAGAGGCCAGGGGAGCTCTAATGAGATGCTGAGGGCTGGCCTAAGGGACAGCAGCGTGGTGGTGGTTCTTCTCTGGGTGTTAGGTATGGGGAGTGGTACTGAATGCAGTGTGTGAGCTGCTGGGGCACTGTGAGGAAGCTGGGTATGAGTTTAGGTTGATGTAGACTTGAATGTCATGTGTAATGTAAAAGAAGGAAGCTCCATTGACCTCATTGATCTGGCAGAGGAAAGGAAGCAGCTGCAGGAGGGAGAGCCTGTTCCAGCTGGGCGGGGGATGTGTAAGGCTGTAAGCAATGGGTCTAATCAATACAGAAAATGCAATATGACCCTTGGAAAGGCAGATGAATTTGTTTTGTATGGTGAAGGCATGGAGCGTTCTTATTTGAGGAGAAACAAAAGGAAGAGAGTTGCTGAGGAAGATAGGGGACATGAGGAAATGATGATTCTCATTGGGTTTCTGTTACTTTCTGCAAGTCATCTTTACCTTCCATGAAGAGGTAATTGTACTTTATCCTTTGCTTATCTGGAGCTAGGCCTCAGCAGAGCTGAGTGGCTTGGATACTAGTTAGCTGATAGCTTGTGACCTGTGTGTGCAGAATACGATCTGTATGGTTGTGGTCTGGGCTTCATGCCTTGCTTTGATCTTCTGGCAAGGAGTAATGATGCTTGCCATCAGGGTGATGATGTCCATGTGTTCTCATGAACCTTCTTCTTGCCAAATACTGATATTGTATTTTTGACCTGAAAATGCTGGTAAAGGAGGTAGAAGTTGACTGTTCTACCCTCTTGGCTCTGTGTTCTAGGAAATAACAATGCTGTCCATATTTATATATGGATAATATAGGCTGTCCATAACTCATCTTGTCCCTGCCCTCAAGTTCATAGACTCATAGAATGGCTGAGGCTGGAGAGGACCTTAAAGACCATCTAGTTCAAACCCCCTGCCATGGGCTGGTTGCCATCCACCAGGTTAGGCTGCCTGGGGCTGCATCCAGCCTGGCCTTGAGCCCCTCCAGGGGCAACCACAACCTTGTTGGGCAACATGTTCCTGCAACTCACCACCCTCTGAGTAAAGCATTTCTTCCTTACATTTAACTTAAGTCTCCTCTGTTTAAGTTTAAAGCGATTCCCCTTTGCACAATCACTATCAG